AAAAAACTCATTATCGCTATCAAGAAAAAAGTCAAATTCAGAAATTTCTGATATTGTTCATAGGTCTAAAAGTGTCGTTTATCGTGTAATTAGCAGGTATAAAACCGATAAAACGTTAGATGCAAAACCAAAAACCGGCAGACCTCCAAAAACATCGCAAAGAGAAGATCGAAGAATATCTACAAAAAACCGTTTTGAAACTGCTACGTTAATTGCCCGTAAATTTAATGAAGATCTCAAGAAAAACGGTTGCTCGCAGGTTAAAAAATGCAGGATTGCATGCCCGTATTCCAGCTTCGAAGCCTCTTATTTCAAAGTGAAACCAAAGGGCATACCTGGAGTATGCGAGAGAACATGTTGTTTGGCTTGACGCACAATGGGATACAGTTAATTTCAGTGATGAGTCCAAGTTTACTATATTTGGTTCTGGGGGCAAAACTTACGTACGCCCTAGAACAGGTGAAAGACTGTCTTCTCAATGTGTCAAGAAAACCGTTAAGTTTGGTGGCGGCAGTGTGATGGTGCGGGGAATGATTTCATCTGCAGGAATTGGCCCTATCATCCGTATACATGGCAATATCAATGCTGAGATTTACAAAAGGCTTCTTCAGCAGTATGTGATACCAAGATTACACCATAATCTTTATGAATCTCCTATGCAGGACAATGCACCTTGCCACAAGGCTCAGAAGGTTATGGCTTTATTTGAAGAAGAAAGAATCGCCCTAATGAAGTAGCCAGCCCAGAGACCCGACCTAAATCCAATAGAAAATGTTTAAAAGATAATTGGAGAAAGGGCTCAGAAAAGAAACCCGAAAAACCAGGATCACATATGGGAGTTATTGAAAGACAAATGGGAGGGAATTACTGCTGATTTTTGAAAGAAATTAATTAGATCATGTGGTCGACAATGCAGAGAAGTCATTGAAAATAAGGAGATGTTTACCAAATATTAAATTTTGTTGATATTTTGTTCACAATCAAGTATTAACAAGATCGTTCCTTAACTTTTGTCCAGTAGCTTATTTCCTTTGTTCCATTTAATCTTTATTTAAAAAAAAAAACTATTATGTAAATTTTTGTAACTTTGTATAATATTTATACATTACACCCTAATCTTTATTCGGTAAAAATTTCATTGCTAATCATGCATTACTTTTTAAGTAATACAAATATTTATGTCTTTGTTGTTTCCGTTCCTTATATTATGGCCGCTACTGTATATATATATATATATATATATATATATATATATATATATATATATATATATAGATAGATAGATAGATATATAGAGAGATATATAGAGATATATATATATATATATATATATATATATATATATATAAATTTATATATAGTGTATATTTGTATATTTAGGCAGTATATTTTAATTTAAACAAGTTTGGGTAAATAAAAATGGGCATGGGAAAATAAAAACAATTTGAAAGAAAATTTTTGTATTTTTCTTAACCAATTTTCTAAGGCTACCAAGAAATTAATCCATGGACTTGAAAGGATCACAACAAAACTAATCGACATGATATGTCTAAATTATTTAACCAAAGCTGTCTGAATATATATATATATATATATATATATATATATATATATATATATATATATATATATATATATATATATATATATAAATGTAAAAGAACGAAAAGAATATAAATTCAAACGTTCATAACATTAATTTAAAAAAAAGCTCAATACAAGAGCAGATCAATAGATATTTATTTTATACTGTTATATTGGAACATGTAGGTTTCAATGTAACAGTTTTTTATATATATATATATATATATATATATATATATATATATATATATATATATATGTATGTATATATGTATATATATATATATATATATATATATAAGAACACTGAGGTCAACACAGAGCGTCGACAATGGGTTTCATGCTTATATGCAATCTTTAAGCCACGTATCTGAAGATTGCTTTCAAGTATGAAACAGACTGTCGCCGCTCGGTGTTGACCTTTGTGTTTAATTTATATTTACATACGCTCTATCTCTGATATTAAGCACTTTTACCCATAAATATTGCATACCCTAAACTCTCTCTCTCTCTCTCTCTCTCTCTCTCTCTCTCTCTCTCTCTGTATATATATATATATATATATATAAGAACGCGTAGGCGCTTTTGGACTCTAAGGAAAGCTCCCACTTTATTCTTACTTCACGTTATGGAGAATCTTCCACCGAGAAAGCCGTGATAAAGACCAACATATTAAGAATTTTTTTACCGAAGGCAGAATAAGGACCCAGAAAGTTATGTCTGTTTAATTGCACATCAACTCCTTATGGGCCATTTAATGCCCAAATTTTATTTTTTGGTATCATTAGTAATTTCTTTTACAAAAATTTATTGCTAGTAATTTTTTTCTTCAAAAATGTATTGCTGGCAATTTTTCCTTTAAAAAATTGGTAATATAATTTTCATTTTTTTTTTATGTATTACTGGTAATCTCTTTATTATGAAAATGCATTACTAGCATTTCTACTACAACAATATATTTTTATACTTTCATGGTGTTTTGACCCCGGTTTATGGGTTAAATATTTGCAATTTCCTGGGATCCTAACAGGTGCTACCACCCCGGAGCAGGCTAAGCCTGGGAAGAACAGTTATTAAGCGGTGGTTCCACGCTCTTCAAAACCTCCTGATCAGAGGATCTGCTGCGGGATGTAGTTTATCGTCATACCCAGGACGGTAAAAAAAGAGGTTACAACAAGGCCATTATAGCCTCTGAAAGTACGAACAGCATAAGAGCCATGCGGATAAAATAAGACACTGAGATGAGTATGTAGACAAAACAAATCTTCTTCTTCTTCTTCTTCTTCTTCTTCTTCTTCTTCTTCTTCGTGCCGTGCCCATTCAAGACTTTGGCGACCATGGCTCTCCACAATTTTTGACGAGCAAGATCAAGATCTCTAAGAGAAATAAACACATTAATATTTCCAAGAAATAAGCACATCAAGTAAGGAACTTCAATGTGGTGTAATAGTTGGAAAGCTCACCTCGCGAGATCAATTGCGATTGAACAGTGAGTTCGATCCTCATTGGTTGCTCCATACTTTCGGCCTTGTGCCACATCTAAGCTACGCTTAGAAAACTACCACCAAACTCTCAGGAGATGAGGTGGGGGAAAAGGAAACAATGTATAGAACAAACACTAGATTCCCAAGGAGTATAGAATCCTTTTGTCTCAAGGACACGTAATAAAGACGGCGTGATGTGATCGCCATTTTATATTTTTAATTTTGCGCATGCGCTTTGTTTGTTTTTAATTTTGTCGAGTGCACATTAGAGTAAGGTCAGTTGAGCACCGTCTTTGAGAAAAAAACCCATGACGCAGTTCATTTTGGAAACAGCATGCTGTATTGCTCCAATACGAACATTTCAAAGAGTTTGGGTGTCAATCGGAGAACGGTGAAGAGGATTTGGTAAATATTGGATGAGTCTAATGGCGATTACGAAGTTACGGCAGCTCGGAAAACTCACTCTGATCGTTCTGATAAAAAAGGCAGTCCTCTATTTGCTGGTGAGGGCCTCAGACTCAACAGGGTGGGCTGCATCAAGTGCCTTGAGGAGGTAGTGCAGCCCTGGCAACAGGAATCTGCGCCATGCCACACAAGCAGGAGAACCTAGTCATTACTGTTAGACAATTTCTACGAACACATCAACCCTTACATCTGGCCACCTAACTCCCCAGATTGCAACCCCCTTGAGTATTATGTGTGGGGCGCAGTTGAACGAGAGACCAACAAAACTCTTTGTAGCATCAAAGATGAACTGAAGACAAGGATTACGACAGCATTCACTAAATTAAACAAGGTGACCTTCCAGAAGAGTTGCAGGGGATTCCGAAGTCGTCTGGAGGCCGTGGGTGAAGCCAATGGCGATTTTATTGAATAAATTTACTCTTTTAGTATTTTAAGATATTTTTGTGTAATTTTGGTTAATATATCTGTTAAAATGAGACACCAGTGTTATTTACATTTTTGCGTAATTAGGATTACAATTTCTCCATCGTACCCTGCATAAGAGAGAAAGACTGCCTGATTTGCATATTGGAAGATGGTGACTATAAAAGGTCTACTTGAACTGAGATCTAAAAGTTGTAAACAACGTCGCTTTAGTAGATGTACTGAGCGACTTGTGACTATCACTTTGGGAAGTGGCTATAAACCATACCAGGGGTTGACTGAAGCCTTGTGAGAGAAATTGTTTAGACAAAACTGTCAGGAAGACTTCGATGGTTACGCTAACACGAGGACACAACGAGGGTTTGGACCTACTGGTCTTGTTCAACTACTGATCAAACCATTGTGTGCTATTTGCCCAAAACTGTAACTAAACCACAGATTGCCTCTGTAGATTTTGAAGAAATACAAATGTACCTCAGCAAGCATCCGAGATACTCGGAAACAAGCTTGCAATTGTTATTAAAATTTACTAGTGTACCCGTTCCGTCAAAAATGACAGCAATTATTAGAAAGTTTTAATAGTGAGATGCAATAAAAGAAACGCTTGTAACAACGTATTGAGATTTAATGGCGCGGAGATAAAGAATTCACAACTAAAATAGAAGCCAATGAACCGTTTAATGAATCCATTCTTTTTATATTTTCTATGGTATCTATGATTCATTGATTACTTCTAGTATTATATAAATATAATGCGTTTAATATGTTAAAAAGTTTCTCCCTTCCCACTATAGTGCGTGGCACGAAAGATATAAATAAATACCAAAGATATAAATAAATAACTAAATAAATAAATGCACAACGGCTATCATTATATCGTGTTAATAATGATAAATGCAGTGTAAGATGAAATGCTATTAACAGTAGTGAACAACGCCACTTTAATAGATGTCCTAAGCGACTTGTGACTACCACTGAATACACTTTAACATACCACAACTAGTATCTTATCCTTTTCCATCCTTTTTTTCTAAAAGCATAAGCCTAAAACACCGCTTCTCGTACGATCACCGAAGTTAAGCAACGTCGAGCCTAGTCAGTACCTATGTAGGTGTCCGCTTGGGAATACAAGAGAAAGAAACGTTAATGTGCAATGGAGGAGAAGTAAACCAAAAAAGAATCCCGAAAAGGAAACAATGTATAGAAAAAAATCTACAAGGAGTATAAAATCTTTATGTTTCCGGCATATGTTTTAATATATTTGCATAGGAGAAAAACTGCCTGATTTACATATTCGAAGAAAGTGAATCTAAAAGAATAGAAATGTTTATACATTTAGTTCCCTTATTACTACGTTTATTGTAATAACTTAGTTATAAAAAAAGATTTCCTTGGGTGGCTTGACTCTTGATATCAAACAGCTAACATGAAAAAATAGTCTCAATCTATGCGTTGCAGATCTCGAAAGTCATTTCAGAACTCACAACAACTTAAGCAGAAGCTACTGGTGAACTGTTTCGTCAATCAATCCCTTTATCACTAAGTTTCTTGTGAAAGTTTTGTTTTGAAGAAGAGTGCCTTGGTTGTCTTTATTTTAATGCATATTTTGAGGTTATTTTTATTTTTGTTCTGCAGAGTGCTACATATAGCTGTCCATAAGCAAACAATGGGGCTGGTAAATAGGCACCAACATGATAAAATTATTGAGCTTGTGACTTGTTAATAGAATTACACTGAGCGTGACACGAAAGACATAAATAAATACACAACGATAATTATTATGTAGTGTTTGATTTTAAAATGACTAAGGGAAGAAACTGCTCGCAAATTTACTAAGTTAAGTTGATTTACTTCCCTTACTACTATAGTACGTGACACGAAAGATATAATTAACTATATATATATATATATATATATATATATATATATATATATATAACGGTTATTATATCTGTTAATAATAGAATTACACTGAGCGGGACACGAAAGATATAAATAAATACACAACGGTAATTATTATGTAGTGTTTGATTTTAAAATGACTAAGGGAAGAAACTACAACTCAAATTTACTACGTTAAATTGATTTGCCTCCCTTACTTCTATAGTACGTGACACGAAAGATATAAATAACTATATATATATATATATATATATATAACGGTTATTATATATGTTAATAATGATAAAAGCAGTGTAAAATGATCAGTCGAAAAAGGAAAAGGTTCTGCAGATTAAAGGAAAGAACTCACTCGAGTTAGTGAAAGAGTTCACTCGAGGGGATAGCGTAAATAGGTTATTTACAAGAAGTAGAATAAACAGTACACTCAAGGGTTCACCGTGAAATCCCAAACGTTACTCGGGAGAGTAAGAGCATAAGAGAACGCAGTGGAGTGAGTGAAAGAATACACACTAATCAGTGAATAAGGTAAGATTTATTCAAATCATACTGTTTGGGCCTTCTTCGTCGGTAATTCCATTGAAGAAGTCCTCGAGCCCCTGGGAGATATCGGATTGCAGCTGATTTCTTTTCTTTCTTTTTTTATCAAACGGTTATGCTGGATCCTTTCTCGGACAAGCGTGTGTTCTCCATTTTTCTACGACCAGGCGGGCTCTGATTGAATTGACCCGAAAAAACGTTAACGTTAGGGTGAAGGAGTTCATTATACGGAGCGCCATTGAAAAAGTCCCCTGGATCGACTAAAAGGTGTCCACCTCGTGAATAGAGTAATTATAAATTTATAAACTTACGGTAAATATGTTCATTTGCGATCGTGAGAGTCCACTAAATAAAAGTCACCCGAGAGAGTGCCAAATTCATATATAGCAAAAGTATAAACTCGAGTGAATGAAAAAGATCTCTTGAGAAATGGTACGTGGAAGTTTTAACTCGAAGAAGTAAGAGAATATACTCTTGTTCTTACTATTCATACTTGCTACTATGACAGTCTTAGAGAATCCGATCAGGTAAAAACGGAAATAATTTTCTAACGTCCATATTTTTTAAACTTCAGACATTATTATAGTGGAAGACTTCTTATTTGAATTACACCCTTATATGCTGCAAATTAATTAAAACAACCGCTTTAGTTTCCTTTCTTTCGCCACACGGTCAGTTTTAGACCCACTGGGGTAACAGGGTGTAATCGATTTCTATTTTTTCCTCAGATTAAGTCATTTGCAGTGGTGTACAGTAATATGAATCTATTTTCAGGGTGTATGATGAAATTTGTTTGGCATCAGATTTCCATCAGGCCCAGGCACTATTGTCTCAACTATCGATTAGTTGTCCTATAGCCGTTCTCTACGATAGACGTTACTCCAAAGAAGCGTACGAAAATTGTAACGCTGCACGAACACACTGACAAGTCTTACCAGTGAGCAAATCAAGGTACTATCGACTGGCCCGAAAACTCTCCTGATTTAAATCCAATCGAGAATCTGTGGTCAGTCTGCAAGAAAAGACTTCGTGGGATGGACATACGAAGTACTAACATGTGTACTGGGTCATGTTACATTGGAAAAATTCGGAAAAAAAGTAATTAATAACGGAATTATTCGTTTTGTTTCAATTAATTTGCACAAGGATGTAGATGGATAGATATGAATAGATATGATCCTTGAAGCAATACTCATACAACAAAAACAACTATCAATAATTAAAAACAATTATAAATAACTTAGGAGCTCGCCTCCTCAAATGTACGTAAAAAAAAACACATCACACTTCGCTTATGTCACAACACACTTTGCCTACGTCACAATATTCACTCGTTCTACGAAACTCGACAATTGTCTCTACCTACTCTGATAATGACTTAAGAAAGTCGAAACCTTGGGCCATATGTCTTGTACTTTTCTTTCGAAATGAACTTCGGACAATTTCTGAGAGAATTTCCTGCTTGTCTGAGAAGGATTAGTCGCAATTTAGAAAAGTCGGCCAGTAAAATTAACTGCAACAAAATGTTGTTTTTAATAATATTTGCCATAGATAGATACATATGAAGATAGATAGATAGATAGATAGATAGATAGATAGAAATAAAGAAAGAAAGATAGAAAGAAAGAAAGACTTCTTATTTTAATTAGATACTTCATTTTTATTTATTAAACAATGTGTATTACGTCTGTTTCAAATAAAAAATAATGTCCACTATATTAATGTTTGCAGTAAGAAAAATGTCAGGTTCAGAATATAAAATCCATTAATTCTTTAGAAATTAAACACAAATGTCAGAAATTCGTGCGTGAAATTGTGTGTGTGTGTGTGTGTGTGTGTGTGTGTGTGTGTGCGTGTGTGTGTGTGTGTGTGTGAACTTAAGCGCAATATTAGACTGGCGGCGAGATCGCATCCATTTACAGGTGAGTTGGCTAAATGTAGACGTAACTTCTACGTTAACAGTTTCTTTTCTCGCACCTCTCGCTTGTGGAACTCGTTTCTGCCTCCATGCTTTCCAGCCAACTTTACTCTGCAAGAATTTAAATGCAATGCCAATCGCTGTCTACAGTCCTCCTGAATGCTCTTTTCTCTTTCTACTCATTACTAATGTTACTGTTCGTATTTCCCCCACACCCTGTAACCACTTACGTGTTAGTGGCTGTACTGCCTTGCTCGGGGCGACACTGATTAAAAAATATTTTACATTTTATAACAATATAAGATATTCAGATGACACAGTGTTGATAGCAGACACGGAAAGAAAACTACGTAAACTCCTACAAAAAGTAGTGAAGGAAAGCAAGAATAATTTATTTTGAAATGAAGTACATTTCATGTGTCACAAGGCCGAAGGACAAGTGGGGAAAGGTTGGTCTTCACTGACTATCCTACACCGAGCTAATATGATTCACGAGCCATCCATTCTCACAAAAGACTCAATCACCAAAAGAACCTATCCATCACCCAATCCAACATTTACCAAAACACCACATATTCGCAGGGAACCTCCTAAAACTGTATGATATAAAAAAATGACAGAGGAAAGCGAGAAGAAAAGATTAAACATCATCAGCAAGAAGAGAAAATATATGGTTGTTAGCAAAAGGGACAGCCCAACATGCAAATTACAAACTGGGGATGCCAAAATCAAAAAAGTACAAAAATTTAAATATCTAGGAAGTGTTTTAACAGAAGACGGGAAGTGCGACACTGAAATCCGAAGGCGCATTGGGATAGCCAAAGATGCCTTCCAAAAGCTAAGTAGAGTATTAAGAAATAGAAACACTTCGCTAGAAACAAGGAAAAAAGTATTAAAATTCTACGTGATATCTGTCCTCCTGTATGACAGTCCTGGACGATCACCTCAAAAAAGAAGAGTAAAATAAGTAACGGAAATGTGGTTCTACAGAAGGATGCTGAAGATACCATGGACCGAATATGTGAGCAACGACGAAGTGTTCGAGAAAATGGAAGCAGAAAGGAACATGTGATGTTCTATAGGTCCCCTGCGAATATGCGGTATTATGGTATATGCAGAATTGAGTCGTGAAGGATGAGTTCTTGTGATGAGTGGGAAAACTGCAATTAATGAATGGGTCATGATTCTAATTAACTAGGACTACGATAGCTAATGAAGACCAGTCTCTCACCATTTCCCCTTCGGCCTTGTACCACAATTTTGTATTTTTTACGAAATAAATAATCTTAACATCGGGAAGAGACAGTTGAAATTTCTAGGGCAGATAATGAGGAAAGAGGACTTGGAAAATCTGTTACTCACAGGACAGATTAAAGGCAAGAGGGACAGAGGAAAACAACGCATAACATACTTAGTGAGCTTGAGTAAATGGATGGCGGAATAAGGATTAGGAGAAATAACAAAAAGACAAAATTTATTAAGAGCTACAAAGGACAGGAAGTTGTGGAGAGCCATGATCACCTACACCCTGAAGGTACAAAGCACATAGAAGAAGAGGAATGAGCTTGAGTAAATAGATGGCGGAATAAGGATTAGGAGAAATAACAAAAATACAAAATTTATTAAGAGCTATTTAGGACAGGAAATTGTGGAGAGTCATGATCGGCTACGCCCTGAGGGGACCCGGCTCCTGAAGAAGAAGGATCAAGGACTTCATTTGAACAAATAAACGAACTCACTTGATTGAATAGGATAGGTCACGCGAGTGAAT